GGGGATCGCCGCGAGGGGCTCGGAAAGCTAGCGCCGTTACAAGGAAAGACATTGTGGTTGCTTTCTTGGGTCGTGTGACCGTCCCGTTGTTTCTGCTTGAGCGTGTCACTTTTACGCCTACTTGCAGTCATGCACACCGCGGGACTCACCTGACTACCGAAACCTGCGTTCTCAAAGCAAAACGCTGCGAGACCAGGGGGTCATATCCCGTGGGAGGGATTGTGGAGGCAAGTGGACCAGTGCCACTTGCCGGCCGGGCGCTTTCTGCCCGGTTTGTCGAACAGCGAACTTCGGTTTGCTCTGGTGGACAGCTTGCTTCGGCTTGCTAGGGCGGACAGTGAACTTTGGTTCATTTGACGGACAGCTTGCTTCGGCTTGCTAGGCACTGGCACTTGGAGTTGACTCGGAACGGTCGACCTGACCACGTTGTGGCAGCTTCTCAACTGCACACTAGGCCCGAAGTTTATCAGCACATAAACTCTCTTTGGTGGTGGAAACTGGCCTCGTTTAGTGGTAGACGATCTTGGTGTCAATCTCATGAGTGGTCCTCAGTCTGGGGGGTACGATCTGCGCTCCAGGCGCATTCCACCTAGGCAAGAGGAAGTCAGTCTTCTAGACGAATCGGGCAGTGAGGATCGAATCGAAGTTGATCAAAGCAGCCACGGTTTTAGGGAAGAGTCGCTTGGTCCGTTCCAAAGCCTGTTCTTTGAAGGACTTGACGACATGGACAGTACTTTCCGTCCCGGGGGGGTGGTCTTTACTGGTGATCCTGCAAGTCCGAGTTTGCAAAGTCTCCGCCAGGCCTGGAGGGCCAAGGAGGTAGAGTTGAAACTCAAGCCACGGTCAGACGAGCTGTTGAATGACAATGATCGGTTCCACCTTGCAGTTGGACTGCTGGGAGGAGGGGCACGAGAACGGGCGTTCCATTTGGAGAGTACGATGGAGGTGGAGCTGTTAGCTGCAAATGCGCCAGCGCGGGCCCAGTTTGCGACGCGCACCAGGGCCTGGCAACTTGAATGTGAGTTGTGGGATGGTAAAACTGAGACTGAGCGTGGTGACACAGTGCGGCCTGTTCGGCCAGTGGCACTTGCTTTTGAGAAGCTGTACTTTCAGCCGATGGAAAGGTTTTGGGCGATGCTTGAGGAGTTGCATCCTGAACGTTCGAGCGCCAAGATAAGCGAGTACAACCTGTTTACGCAGAACAAGGGAGAGTCGCTGGCGAACATGTTTCAGAGAATGAAGTTCCTCATGGTCACTCTCAACCAACCCGAGCAGAAAAGCGTGTTCAAGCTGCTAGACTGTCTGAAGGCCAAGCACATGGCCAGCGAAGTCGAGAGTCACTTGAATCACCTGCATTTGGATCCGAACCTGTGGACGGTTGACCAAGTGTCCAACATAGCGCTCCAGATTGAACGCGGACGTAGTGAAAAGGAACTCTGGACAGGCAAATCCAGTCACTCTGACACTGTGAGCAACAAGTTTGGCAGCACTAGTTCTGGTGGTGGGTCCGCGAAGACTGGCAAAGCATGTCATAACTGCGGCGACCCTAATCACTTGCAGAACGCTTGTCCCCATCCGCCACGGGGAAAGCCTAAGCCCGCCAAGCCAGTCACCTCTGTTGCACGTTTTGCCAATCCAAGGGCTAACAACAAGCCTCAGAACTCGGATAAGACGTGTTACACATGTGGCGAGACAGGCCACATTTCAAGGGACTGCACGAAGCGGCAAGCTGGCGGCGAGATGTCGAAGAGGGAAAAGGGGAAGCCGTGGTGCTCGCACCACAACATTTAACACTCACTCGAACGAGCAATGCTGGGCACTGCATCCAGAACTGGCGCCAAACTTTGCTAAGGAGAAGCCGCAAGTCAAGCATGCGCGGTCGGCAAAGAAAGCTACGGAGGCTAACTTTGCAAGCATGTCCGCAGCAGACAAGCAGGCAGCCTATGAGGATTGGCAGGCAAAACAGTCTGGGTGCGACGGTCCTGCTGACGCCTACACGGGTGAGATCATTGAGCTAAACGAACCCCTTGTTCCTGCTCTTGCTACAGGTACGGAGAAGAAACGGCGGTCGTCTGAGACGCAGCAGTTGAAGGGCGTCCAAGGCAACATGCCGCTGAGCTTCCTGCCCTACGACGCCACTTCCACTGAGCGTCTCAGAGGGGGGAAGGACCTGGAGTACGATCCGTTTCAGGTTTCGGCTGATCAAGGTGAGAGCGAGACCGCGGGGCTGCCAAAGGCGCTTGAAAAGGTGCCTGGCGCAGGTGGAGACAGCGAGTTGCCTCAGTCGTTTGAGGAGCTTGCCACAACGGACCCCAGGTACCAGGGAAAGGCTGATTACGAACTGCCGACGTCGCAAGTGGTGAAGAATCCGGTTCCTGAGGATGAGATTCCGGGTGAAAACTTTGTGACCGACCTGTTTGGTGTTCAAAAACCCTTGTACGGGTACCGAAATGCTGCCAGCAGGGACGGTTTGACCAGCGACAGGTCGGACAGTGAGGCCCAGTCAGGGCTAGACACCCTTGGTAAAGTGCCTGACACGTTACTAACCGGTCCTTTTGCTCATGCAGAGTTGGAGGGAGACGTGACGGCGGACATGGAACTGGGGGGACGTCAAGGCCGGCATGGAACGGTGGATCCGTTTGCAGAGCCGCCGGTCATAATTGAGGGAGGTGAGTTGTTGGGGGAATACAGAGATATTGCCCCTGAGGCTTGGCCACCAGCAGTACGCGCCAACTACCACACGGTCGAGGTGCAGGCGCTGCTAGGAGGCCCAGTAACTGATGATGTCCGAGATGCTGTGCGAGCGCTTGGGGATAACGAGCGCTTGGGGATAACTCAGAACAGGGTTTTCTGCCTGGGGTGGTCCGTGGAATGTTCTCCGGGGGCCCGAGACCAGGTATGGACGGTGTGGCTTTCAGAACTAGGCGGCTCCTAGGCCGTGAGAGTTACCCCACTTGGGGAGAGCTGGAACCGAGTTGCACTGACAGTGCCCAAACAGGACAAACAGGCGCGCGCAGTCCGCAGCGCACTGCTTGATCCCAGCATTGAGACAGGGAGTCTGCTTTTGAGAACGGGTGACCTGCTGACGCCTGGCCAGTACAAAGCGCTGGGGTTACGTCTGTTGTTCCTGTTAAAAGAGCTCAGTGAACTTTCTCTCTTGCCTTTGAACCTAGCGCCAGCTGAGGTTGTCGGAACTGCTGAGCACACAGCACTTGAGATTGAGCACGGGTTGGCTTTGATGCAGTATGTGTTAGAGCTTGCCCACGGCCTGATCGACGGGACAAAGACACTAAGCGGCCCAACCAGTACGGCGTGCATGCTGCTTGCTGAGTTCTGGTGGTGGTTGCAGTGGCGGTCTGAGTACCTTGTGAGGGGGAACGTAAAAGGAATTGGCACTGAGTTGCGTTACTTGGGTCACGGATTGGTCAACCTCCAGGTGATTTTGGACCAGGCCGACAGGTGGTCACAATCCTGGTTGTGGAAACATTTGGCCTGGGCCCTGCGCAACTGTGAGATGGCCGGATTCCGGACCATGCGCGACATCTTTGTTTGCCCTGCAGATTCCGCACTGGCCAGCGCGCGGCGCTTGGTGGCAGAACGGGAGAAGAGAGCAGTCGAACCAGCGCGGGCCGAGATGACTTGGCGAGGTCAACTCTGACCAACCTGGCGCAAGTGTTCAAACAGGGGCGAGTCTTCATTCGAGCGGGCGGACTGCTTGCAGCCGCCATTCCAAGGGCCGTTGCAGCGCTCCAGCCACCACGCGTGCCTGGGCCAGCAG